TTATAAGTTATGGGAACGATTCCATTGAACAAACTTTTGACCTGCACATTCAGTTACTCTCTTTATATTTTCTTCAACACAACGCCCAGCCGATATCTGGTAGGATTGTAAGGACCTATCACTTTTATTCATAAGATCTAAATAACCTTTAACCGAGTGTCCGAACTGTGACAGTATCCCTTGCGGCTGACGCAAAATTTGCTGCAGTTGCCTAACCATCTTGCATTTGTAACTATACTATACCTCGTGAGGGCTGCTTATTTCATTTCTGATCATGCTTTGCACCTAAAAACGAGACTTGGGGCTCTATACTTGTGCTGAGTGAGCTGAACTCGGTGCAACATTTGTCCGGTCGCAACGTTCCATCGCGCCTGTGTATTGTACTACCGTGCCTCCAATTCTTATCACAATCCGGCCTGCATACACTCATTGGATCAGACTTGACGTGCTCCTTCCAACGATTAATACATCATATCTCTACGCATTACGGACTACAATCTGCCGACGAGTTTTACTTTTTACTTTTTCACTGTTGAGTGGTGCACGCGAAACTTCATCCGCTTCGCTTCCCACACCATGGAGTGCGACCTTTTCTAACAGCCCAATTTAAGGGCTGTCTAAAAACGCCACCACCGCTTCTATCGGTAGCTGTGCAAGGCAGCTACTTGCGGTGATATGAGATCTGCTGCTGATACAGCCACTGAGGCTTCTATCTTCCGTAGACAATCCAGAGACCACAAACTGCTAGCGCCCAAGCCACACAGGCACTTTAACTTGATCGATAGCCTGTGAGTCATTCCAGGGCCTGGCTGTATTCACGTGTACCCTTTTGTGACCTGTCGCGAGAAAGCAGGAACGCCTGTTGGTGTGTGTCCTTGGATCGTTGAGACCACAACTGGACAAACTACTTTTGAAAGCTGTTCGGAAAGCGCTTCTCACTGCATGCGATATGCAATCTTCTTGGTCCAGTTGTATCAGATTATGCTACTTTACGCGTGTCCCATACTTTTCCAGTTTGAAAATGAACGAATTGCTAAACAGTTCATACAAAAGCGCGAGCTCATTCAGTTTCATACGACCTTCAAACGTACGAAAATTGTGGAAAACAAAACCCCGCTATAACAAGAGATCAGAGGGCGAAAGGCAGAGGTAAACCCAACTACCAAACAGTCATCTGACGCCCCGCATTCAGTTGATAGTACTCCACTTATCGGTTAGAATAATTCTGTGATCAATACTCCGCTTGGTGTAGAAAAAGATTGTGATAAACAATAAAGAGTTTTGAAAGTCGCAGTGAACGGGGCGTAGAAAAAGTTCCACCATATTTGCATCTTACACACGGTGTATTTGGATAACACCACTATTCGGTCCCATTAATGAATCACGCAGTATGTTGGTGGTGGTGTTGTATGGATTGACACTAGTGTGCCTCCACTGCGTCTATTGGATCCTTGTGCCTCGAGCGCAGGTAAGCGTATTATACCCGATGATGGAAATGACAACTCCCCAGTGACTCCTATCAATGACCCACGAAACCAACCGCTTATCAGTGTCGTGGTGCAGATAACACAGCCTTTCAAGCCAGCATCTGCAAGCGAACTTGCAAAAGCTCTCTAACTCTCCCGCTCCCATAAGCTGTTACACCAACCATGGACTCATTTCCGCGAATCGTTTTCTAGAGGGCATATTCAGTCATAACCCCATCCGCTGTGGTCACCTCATAAACATTTTTCTATGAAGTTGACAATACACGCCCTGGTTTAACAATTTTTAACCTGGGGCCAGAAACGGCTTGAAACCCCAATGTTTATAAAGCAGTCTAAATAATTTCCTTCAGTTCTCACAATTATGATATTCTTTTTTCTTAACATTAGTTCTCTTTATTTTAAGGTCCACACACTACACTCATCTCTTTTGGTTATTAACCCTGATATCATATTAATAACTAACCCTTAGTGCTATGCAGACATGTCTGGCAATCTATTAACTATTTTCGGATACTAGAAGTTTATGGGAAATCAGCATTATCCTAGAGGTGGAGGGTGCGTAATTTATGTGAAAAATTTGCTGGCAGCAGCGACGTTCGAGAACACAGTGCTGAACTTTGTCCAGGACTCACTCTGGCTTAGAATACCTGTTAATCAACAGCAGATACTTGTGGGCTGTATATACAGCGCACCAAACTGCAGCCAAGAGGACCTAGCACTGTTGCTGCTTACATTTAAATGCATCGCTATCCAGTCTTTTATACATCAGATTATCGGAGGTGATTTCAATCTGCCTTCGATTACAGGGTCCATGGGGGCCACTCGTTTAAAATTTCAAAACATTATCACCTGTATTCAAATGAATGGCTATCAGTAACACATCCCAACCCAGCAGAGGTGAAAGTACTTTGGATCTCATTTTTTCTTTTAGCATACCTACAATCAGCATTAACGTTCTTGATGAAGTTCCTCGGAGCGAAAGTCGGGTGATCACATGCTGCCTTGGACTACGCATGGCTGAGGCACAACACCCAAGGCATTATTGTCTGTTTAGTTCCCTAAACTGGAACACGTTCAAGGAACTGGTTTTTTCAATGAAATCGGACAAACATTTTCTCGGTTCTTGTCCCTAACAGGCAGCGGACCAACTTTATATTGAAATTATCTCTTGCTTCGATTCAGCAGCGCCGCTAGGTGCCCACCAAACAAAACACAAACTCGGTCACAAAGCGTTAAAGGTAGCAAGCAAGCTTCATAAGTTTCGGCAGGAATTCAGGCTAACTGCTGACTTTGTGCTATTAATCCAGCAGTCCAAAATCATCGAGAAACTGTAGCATCGAAATGATAGGTTCCTCATTATATAAAAGTATAACGCATTGAACTACCTTAGCAAAACAACTGAAATCTCTAAATTATTCTATTCCCTGGGTTCGCATCTCAGTGACTTTTTCATTTTTTATCACCCCTGATAAAACACTTCGATGCACCAGGTGATATTTGTAAATCTTTCAGCACTTATTTTGCTGTATTAATGGTTAATAAATCCTCAGAAACATCAGCGCCTTTTACCCCATACATCGCTGGAAGTCTATGCACAGCGAGATTAAATATTGGGAAAATTAGTGGTCAAGCCTCTCCTTTATGCTCCTTGACTTACGCAGGGTCTGATGGAATAGCTCAGTTTATTAAAGAGCGGCGATGACGACTTTCTTCTGCTTTTTTATCAAGGTATTTACACTCTTTTATCAACGGTATATATCCTCTTCTCTGAAAGACTTCTTTTGTTATGCCACGACACAAAAATGGAGCCGCTCACGAGATAAAAACTTTAGGCCCATCAATCAAACACCTTCTTATCTAGAATAATGGGAAGAATAATGAAAGATGAACTAGTTGGCTTCTTTAACAAACCTAACCTAATAAGCCAGTCACAGCACGGTTTTGTGTAAGGTCCTCCCTGCGCAACATGCCAGGCACATTGCCATGGACAACGGAACCCGCATTATAGGCTTGTTTCTGGACATGCAGAAATGCTTTGATAGAGTACCTCATGGATGGTTGCTCAGCAAATTGAAGGTCGCAGGCATTGGAAAGCCGATGCTTTTTTGGCTGTTCTCATATATAATTGGTAGACAGCAGGTGGTGCACATCGGTAACCATTTCTCTAAGCCGAAGCAGTCATCAGTGGAGTCATTCAAGGAAATGATTTTGGTCCACTTCTTTTTCTCAAATATGTTAACGATGTGTTCCAGAGATTAAGACATGGTGCTACTTTACTGTTTGTTGATGACATTAAATTCATCTACTCACAAGACCGTGCAAATACCCAGGTCGCCATATGCCCTATATAGGATGACCTATCTGCACTTGGGTCCTGGTGCCAACAGCGGCAAATGTCATTTGCCATGGACAAATGTCCGCCAGACAGTCTATTACAGCAAGGCACATACATCTCGCAATGCAAGGTATTTCGCGACTTGGGAGTGGGATATTCTGTCTCGTCCAACTTTTCTGAGCATTTTTTACTTTGAAATTTCAAAGACCATTAGGATGATCGGACATATATGCCAACATTTTCATCTCAAGAAATCTGAAACCTGGCTTTACAAAATATATGTGTTGCCTTGTAGGTAATACTACACATTGGTCCAATCTAATCGGCGAAAACCTGACCAGTATGCTCTTGAGAATGTCAGGTGGCGCTCCACGAAAATGATATGTGACTATTCCTTAAAGATGAGAGAACGCGTTGTGCCAAGCTTGGATTTGACCTAGCAGGGCTTCGGAGAATAACGCTGAACCTACGTTTTCTTTATTTGATTATAAACAATTAAATACACAGTCCCAATGACCGCATTCACATGTCTTTAGACAGTGTATGTCCGATCCACAACAAGACGATAAAGGTTATTATTCCAAAATTTACTACAAAAATCAGAGAACGCGTTTTTCCAGTCCAGTACTCAATGATTTGGAAAATTTTCCAAAAGATATCAGCACATGCTGTACACTACGTAATTCCAAGCTTGCGATTAGTGGGCAGTTAACCGTCCAACATGCGATTAATATCTTTGGGACATCACAAGACCTTGATAACGCTTTCCAGAACCGTATCGATGACATCTGACAAAATTAGGAACAACATATGCATGTAGCTTGTTGGACTACAGCCCCTCACATTTCATTTTCCTTCATGGCGAAAATGTGTTAATTGTATGTGGAGAACTCTCGTTAATCGCTAGGTAGAAAAAGATCAGCAAAACACTTCGGATTACCTTATGTTGCCTAAACTTGAAATGTGTGCTCATATTTATTTCTAAAAAATATTAATGAAGAAGCATGAAAAAGATGCAGCACTTTTAGTCTGTTCCTTCTAGGGTACAGTTTCTCGCATACCATTTATTTATTTAGCCTTTGGAGCCTAACGTATTTCACCCCATTAGTAAAGGACTTCCATAGGTTTTTCTTTATTCACCAGAACCTCATCCTATTGCTCATTTTCCACATTTTCAGTTACGCTCATTATTATTATCTAAACGAAACGCTTCATCGTGATTTGATCAAAGCTTTTGGAATACGCTTCCTCATCAACGCACATGGGAGGGCGGGTAAATTTCATCTACTCCCGCTTACAATGAACATTGGATCCGGCTTGGCTCTTCTCGGTCTGGTAAGCGAGCACAATGGATCGGAAATTGATCTAACTTCTGAACCGTGTTTTTTTTCAATATTATGTACAGTGTGACTAGCTTTTTTATCACACTGTCTTAAATGCGCTTCCGTTATCTTCATCTCTACCATGGTAGCGTTTTGAGGCTACGTATCAATAGGCTGTAGAACCAATCTGTGATGAGGTCTAAACTGTGACGAGGTAACTAAATTGCCTTATGTGCGAAAGTCAAGGAATTCACCATGGTCGGCCCGCGATTGCTAGTGCAGTGAAAGTCAGATTGCTTGACTATTCCACTGATGTTGTTTCTGCCTGCATAATGTTGCCTTACGTTATTGCAATAGGCTCACACCTTATTGGCTGCTGTGTTCTATTGAATAGCTGATAAACCTCTACATAAAGGAGGATGTCGTTATGCCTTGATTGGTTGGAACCATACGGTAACTCCTCAGTATATCTATTGGGCTATCTAGTCACTGGTTCTTTCTTATTCAGCAATGATTCCATGGAAGACAGAGACTAACCTCAACTACTATTATAATTTATGACGATTTGCTGCATTGATGCCGATAGTCTGGTTATTGATTTAGAAGTAAAAAGCAGAAAAGGACTTTATGATTCAAACCAATGGAAGGTATTGGATGAGTTTATTCCGACAATTCGGTGCTAATTTTCAGAGACTGATAACCACATATGAACCGGTGTTTAGGTGATGTCAAATGTACGCTTCCAGGACGCGCCTGGGAAATTTTTGCTTTCATTCACTACTTTAGGAGGATCAGGTTTAATACTCCCAATCTCACCAGTGAAAATGCTGATCGATGTTCAGCTTTTACCATCATTTATTGCCTTTTCATCAGATCGAGGTCGACATTTAGTAACTTAACAATGTTTGGTTGGGGTCCTGGATCAATGGGAGCTTCACAAAAACATCTAACCCAGTTAAAATCCTTCACAGTGTATATATGAATATTATTGCGTAAGGTCTACAGGCGATCAAAACCAACTAGCGTTTCACGTCGTCAGGTTGATACGGTACATTAGAAGTGGTCCCTTGAGAACGAATAATTCGCACTTGCTAAAGCTTCATCTACGCGTGCGTGAATTATCACAGTACGAACGAAAACACTAAGTATATTCAGGAATGTGTGCAATTCTGTCGTCTGTCAAATACTGAGTTAGCGATAAAACATAGCCATGCTGAATGTACTTATAATGTTTAATCCAACTCCCACTCTTCAAAGTTCCAAAAATTCAGACGAGTTCTTATCTGTTTGGGAGTGTTTGCATTTTAGTTGCAACCATACACTCTCCTGCACACCCAAAAAAGCAATAGATGGCAGTTTCATCGCATTGGGACTTGTCAGCAGTGCACACCGCCTCTCACCACCAGGAAGTGGAACATGGACTTTCCGACGCCACATAATGAAGCCGCGTGGGTGGCAGACCGTTGGAAATTATATGTAAACTGTGCTACTGCAACGCTCACTTTTTACTGCCTTACAGAGGATAGCGTTGGTCCCCAGACCCATGCATTCCCGTATCGCAGCTATACATCATGTAGCACTTGGAAGCTGTAACGACGAATGTTTGATTCCTCATGATGGATTTTGGTAAAAGTTATTGTGGATTCTTTGCAGTAGCTTTAAGTTAGATAGTATCCCTGACATCTGTAAAAACAATACAGTTCGAATCTATTGCACCTGGCCACTGATTCTGCGCTACTGGACATATTACTTATGAATCGACACAACTACACCTGGCACAAACACGAGCTCACTTTCTGGCGCTACTCACTACTTAGCTACCAGGTCATATTGTCACGAATCTTCTACCTCATTTCATGTAACCTAAATGGCACCAAAGTTATCTACACTCCTGCATTGTAGAACGATAGGAAGCAACCAAGTAAAACCAAATATATGTCAACAGCCATAAATCGTGGTTAATCGGATTTTATTCTAATGATTGCAACTACCACGCGTTCCTCTTCTAAGCTGTCTTCCTCGTTATCTTCGACTGATAAAGTAAGGTTGCTCCAAATACACTTTATAAACTCAAATAGATTCATTTACAGCATGTACACTAGCAGTACGAATGTGCTGAAAGACAATATATGTAAAACAAATAGATAAAAGTGTGGCGAAATGAACCATATACACAATTATCCCCCTGACAACCGCTCGCACAGCATGTCTAGGAATTTCATTGCGTTCACAAGCAAATGTGACAGGTGTGATGTGATGAGTAGAGAGGGAAGAAAAAACCTTTAAATGTTAAATGCATAGAAGAAAATGACAGCGTTTTGGAAAGGCCACGGTGTAGCTAATGAAATTGGTCCTTTGGAACTAGAAGCAAAAGAACTGCTAACTCCGAGATGCTTTGAAATAACCAAATCAACAAGGAAGTCACCAGAGAAACCGTTGCATATACACATACGCTTTATCAAGCTTACAAATAAGGCGCATGCATGCATTTTGTATTGTCTCGTTTGTAGCATTAACAACAACTGGAATGCAACTATATAAATAGATATCGGTGTGACCAAACCAGCTTGAGATGCAAAATGTATGACGGAAGTTCCACTCCTATGTCTATTGCAGTCTTAAGATGACAGATACTTGCTTTTGAACACACAGGACCGGCTTCATCCGGCTTATTGTCACAGCCTCGGTGAAAGGGAGGAAGCGAGGATTAGGGTGCCGTAACACCATTATGAACGCTGATCCCAGCTGTATCCGGTGACGCGTGACCACTAGATGTCTACCTATTTAAGGAGCTGGCAGCCTACGCGAGCGCGAAGAGTCAGGGGGCAGGCAGCATGGTCAGTTTCACGTTGAAGGCACCTTGGCACGTGTTCTTTTATTGGGGAATTCAAAGACGGATTACTTCTGCCTCTGTAACTGGATCCGCAATCACACACGAACTGGTGACATCTATAACCGTTAGAAGCCGACAACACTATCCCATAGCTGTACGGGTTATCAGAACGCACAAGAGCGGAGTATCAGTCAAACAGATCCCATCAATGAAAAATGCGCCGCAGCACAAATTAGCTCGCTGGCTAGTGAAAATCTTTCCACCGCGGCGACGGCTGGCCAATCCCTATTGTCTTAAGGATTCATTTCAACAAATTTGAGGGGTCACTCATTAAAACTCGCAGAACAATACAGTCGTCTGGATTGCCGCAAAAATTTCTTTCCCATCCGTGTCTATCACCCGTGGAATGCTCTCCCAGAATCGGTCATCTCTGCACCGACGCTAACAGTATTTAAAAGACGGTTGGACGATGCACTCATCCACTTACACTTTGTTACTTGACACTACGTCTCCATCCTACACCTGGAGTTAAACATGAAGTTATTTGATGTTAACTGTGGATGCTGTGAATCTAACAGGATCTCTGTACTGCAGCGAAGCAAACGATAAGTCCTTATTTTCATATTTAAATTATTAACTATGTTACTATCCTTATCACCATTATTGTTGTGTTGATATCCCCTGCAACTATCCAACGGGACTTGTAAAGCAGAGCTTCTTAACCCGTATAAATTCGTTGTTCATTGTCTTCGATGACTTGGACGACATCAACCTGTCCGATAAGGTAATGTATTCATTGGATGTGCAATCTATGTTTCCTAACGTTCCGCTACACCAGACAGTTGATTATATCCACGAACTAGTTGAGCAATCTGCTTATTCATTATCAATTTCAGTCGAACTTCTAAAAGAACCATTGCTGTCGTGCACAGAAAATGTTGGCTTCCACTTTTAGAATATGCCCTACAATCAAATCGATGGGTCGGCAATGAGTAGCCCATTAGGCCCTGTACTCGTCGATTTCTTTGTGTTGATGGTAGAAAGAGGCATATCCACAGAAATAACCAAGTTGCAATACTATAAGCGCTATGTGGATGACATACTGACCTTTTGTTCATCGGAGCGGCAGATCGTGCAGTTGATGAAGTAGCTTAACAAGGAACATACCAAACTGCAGGTCATCTGTGAGGTGGAGCAGAACAACTGTCTACCGTTCTCGGACATCCCTATCAGTCGCAAGGATGACGGACTAATTAAGTGATCCGCCTACAGAAAAGACACATTGTCCGGTCGACACCTGCAACTGAAGCTTCATACCAGTACCGTACTAACGGACACTTGTGAAAACGTTAGTTAGTCGCGTTAGACGAATTTGCTCGGCCGGTTGTCTGGCCGAGGAGCTAGAGTTAATTACAACTATGCAAATGGCAAAAGCTTATCTTCGCAGATTCATGGAGAAACACAACCAACAACGAGGTCCAAAGGATTTAGTGCATACAGTAGCTTAGAAAAGGTCTACATCGAGTTGCATTTCAAGAGTGACTTCCCTACACTGAAGACCACTAAAGGTTTAATTTCTGTTACACAGTGAAGTTACCATGCTGCTGAAGTTGTGGTCATCAACTGAACCCGTAATTTGCCTGTTCCGCCGACGAAGGAAACTCAGACGATCGGGGCCAATTCATATTGCCTATAGCAATTCGTGTGTGATTGCGGATCCAGTTACAGAGGCAGAAGTAATCCGTCTTTGAATTCCCCAATAAAAGAACACGTGCCAAGGTGCCTTCAACGTGAAACTGACCATGCTGCCTGCCCCCTGACTCTTCGCGCTCGCGTAGGCTGCCAGCTCCTTAAATAGGTAGACATCTAGTGGTCACGCGTCACCGGATACAGCTGGGATCAGCGTTCATAATGGTGTTACGGCACCCTAATCCTCGCTTCCTCCCTTTCACCGAGGCTGTGACAGTAAGCCGGATGAAACCGGTCCTGTGTGTTCAAAAGCAAGTATCTGTCATCTTAAGACTGCAATAGACATAGGAGTGGAACTTCTGTCATACATTTTGCATCTCAAGCTGGTTTGGTCACACCGATATCTATTTATATAGTTGCATTCCAGTTACTGTTAATGGTACTGACAAGACAATATGAAATGCATTCATCTACTATTTTTCGTCTTACCA